CTAGTTTTCATACATCTGTGGGTCTGTTCCTGGGTCTTCTATTTCATTTCTCAATTTGTCTATTACTATCTTCATTACTTAGCTAGAAATATGTATTTATTTTTAATACTGATAAGACAAGGCTCCAACCTTGTTCTTCTTCAGGACTGTCTGAGCTACCCTTAGCCCTTTGTTCTATCAAATAAATGTGAGAATCAGCTTGTCAATTTCCACATATATAAAAGTGAAGTTATAAATTCGCTGTCTGCTGGATCCCACTGCCCCAGTGCCACTGTTGAAAAGTCAACTGGAGGGGCGCCTGGGTGGCTCAGTCGTTAAGCGTCTGTCTTCGGCTCAGGTCATGATCCCGGGGTCCTGGGATCGAGCCCTGCGTCGGGCTCCCTCCTCGGCGGGAAGCCTGCTTCTCCCTCTCCCACTCCCCCTGCTTGTGTCCCCTCTCTCGCTGTGTCTCTCTCTGTCAAATAAATAAATAAAATCTTTAAAAAAATATATTGTTTAAAAAAAAAAGAAAGGTCAACTGGAAGTCTAATTGTTGCTTCTCTGAAGGTATTAAAGGTTATTTTAAGAATTTTTCCTATCTTTGTGATTTGCAGTTTAACTATAATATGTCTAGTGTGGACCTCTTTTTTTTATTTATCTTGCTTAGTGTTCATTGAGTTCCTTCAGTCTGTGGGGTAGTGTCTTTCAATACTGGAAAATTCTCAGCCACTGTCTCCTTTAATATTTCCTCTGTTCCCTTATCTCCTTCTGGAACTCTAGTTAAGTATATGTTAGACCTTCTCATTTTATCCCCCATGTTTCTTAACTTCCATTTTGTATTTGTCATTTCTCTAGGCTGTACCCTAGATAATTGCTTATGTCCAATTTCCCAATTCATTATTTTTTTCTTCAGTGAAGTCCAATCATCTGCTATTAAACCTGACCAAGGAAATCTTATTTCCTATTACTACTTTTTCATTTCTAGAGGTTCTGATTAGTACTTCTACAAATCTTCTTGTTCTTTACCACATTTTCAATCCTTTCCTTTTATTTCTGGAAATTAAAGTAAGCACTCTTGTTTTATATTTTGGGCTTGGTAATTCCACCTGATCTTAGCCAAAAGGCCAAGAAGCGATGGGCTTGGTAATTCCAATCTCTCAAGTCCTTGCAGGTCTAACTAATTCTCTGCTAATCTGTTTTTTATTGCTCGTTTATGGTCTCTTGTTTTCTTGTACGTGAGTGGTTTTCTCTTTAAGTATATTTACTTAAGCAATCTCATACCCAATGTGGGGCTCGAAATCATGATCCTAAGATCAAGAGCTGTACGCTCCACTGACTGAGCCAGCCAGGTGCCCCTATTTTTTTTAAGTTTAGTATATGAGTGGTTTGATAGTGAGTTGCTCATTTCCCTTAGAATTCTATTTTTATTATTCTTTATTCTTTTCTGCTTCCCCCCCCCTTTTTCTGGTATTCCTATTAGCTGGATTTTGACCTTTCCATCCTGATTGATTTTCCAAGTATCTTACCTTCCTGTCATATTTTCCATCTGTCTTTTGCTTTATATCCAGAAAAAAAATGTTTTCAACCTTGTATTCTAGATTCCAGGCTTCAGCTATTTATTACTCATCATTTCTATTAAATTTTTAAATTGACCATACTTTAAATTCTCAAGTGCTCATTTATTCTGCAACTACTTCTTTTTCATGCCAATCTGTTCTCTTTATATTTAATACAAATAATTTCAGTTTTTTCTGAAGACTGTGATGACACTTGAAATTTTTTCTTCTGTTCCTTGAATTAATAGATTGATTCCCTTAGGGCCATTTCTTCTCTTTGGTGCTCTGTTACATATTCACATTTTTGAATGATAATGGGTTGATTAATGAAGGTAATTGGTGTGAATTTCCTGTATTAGTATATTGATTTCTTTTCCTAACATACCTTTGCCTTGTAGGGAAGGGCTGATTTAGAGCTCTCTGTAAGTACACAGGGTACTGTGACTGGAAGACTTCATTTAGGGTTCAGGAGAAGAGAGGCCTCAAGGTAAGCTGGGAGCCCTGACCCTCCCCCTACACCCTGACAAAAGTAGGAAGTACTTTACCCTGAGTGTGTAGTGTTTTTACTTCCTTCTTGAGAAAACGGGACTCTTCTTCTACCATCCATATATGTCTATTTTTCAGTTCCGGTATCATCTCAGAATCTACTTTGCTTCTTTCTTAGTTATCAGCCCCCAACTAGGACTTCTAGTCAGCTGTTCATTTTCTTAGTAAATATTACTTTTTTTTTTTAATCTTTTGTTTTTTTCTTTTTGGGAGAAAAACCAGACTGAACGCTCTCTATGAGAATCAGTTAGGATGGGTGTGGAGGTAATCTGGGGGAGAATGGCCCAGGTGTTCCTGTCATTGCCCACAATCCATGCCTATCTCTTCTTTCTTGGGGTTGAATGGAAATATGGAGCCTCTCTGGGAGCTCCCTAGGATAGTTCCCACAATCACTAGAACTTGTTCCTGTTTGTTTCACTATTTTCCTTTTTTTCTTTTTCTGGGTCATGATTTTCTCTACCAGGATTATCAAACAGTATGGTCCTTTCTGCTTCTGTTTTCCAAAAACTCAATTGAATTTCTGGTTTGTTGATGGCATCCCTTCTTGTTCTCCATGCTATTATGAATTTATTTCCATTACTATAGCTTTTGGTTATTTAAATGTGGATCCTGAAGAATGGGGAAGAAGTGCTTATGTTTAGTCTTCCTCTTGAACAGGATGTGCTCATAACTTTCGAAAAACATAGACATACATCATCTATTTTAATATTTAAGTGTCTTAAACTTAATACACTTTTATAATATTAAATTAATCACTAATTCAACAAATTGACTAAAGCATCTATCTTTTAAGGATTTGGATTGAAAAGAATTTCTGTTTAATTTACACACTCTTTTCCCTTAGTTATGTACATAACATACTTTTTCTAATGTCAAAAAGAAAAAAAGCACTGACCAAAAGTGATAGTCCGTCAATCCACACATATACATTTTTGTGTGGTGTCTTTGAAGTTCAGTTTTTTCTATTTCCACATATTTGCTGGAGTCAGAATTCCAAACACATTCCAAACTGTAATGATTCCAAACCAAATACAAGAAACAGCATTGGAAATGCCGGTGGCATCAGCTCTCCTGAAGTTTCAAATGTGTTTTAATCTATAGAAAAAGCTCAGATTTTTTAAATAGCGATATTACCTTTTTATAGACATGCTTGGCTTTGGGGGAAACTTATTTAGAAAAAAAATATCCCCCTATCCCTAGAAAAGAGGAGGCCAATCACAAGTTTCCATAGACAATGAAATGCCAGAGAGTGTACCACACAAGGCAGGTGCCACCTTACGTTCTGTAGAGGATGAGGTCTGCTCTACATAATCTACATTGCAGTGTAAGCACGTGGATTTCTGACATGCCATAAAAATATGCTAGATGCATATAAAAATCACAGTATATAGTTCTTGGACAAGAATTCAAACTCACAGTGAAAATGACAGAAGCAATCTTCTAGCGGTCAAGGCAATGGGATACAGTCTGTTGTCTTTGGGGTAGAGATTCCGGAATACAAATCCTGGCAGTCATTTTTTGTTTGACCATGTGACCTTGGGTTAGTTATTAAGCTCAAAATCTCATTTTCATCACGTGCAAAATGGGGATGGTAATGCCTGCCTTATATGCCTATGGTTAGGATTCAGTGAAATTCCATGTCAAGGCACTGGAACACAGAAGAGACTCAACAGCTATTTCCTTTGTTCTTTATGTCAAAAACTCTAAGCTCAAACAAGTACAATGAATGTACATCGATTATATTCTCCCTTTACCCTGAACTGTTTAAGTTCAAATAGAAAGAAATAGTGAGGAAAGTAATGGCAACTCTTCAGTATGTTCTAGTTTTCTAGTATATTCTTTAGTATGATCATAAGGCATATGATGCTGATACTGCACATCTCATGGACCTAATCAGGCATTTCTTTTAAGTCCTTTTCTTACCATTTAATTTATCATTTTCTTTAGATTTCCAGTCCCTTGGCCTTTCACCTCTTCACCAGTGCCTGTGCTCACAGCAAATCCCAAAAGAGGGTGGGATAATTAAGTGATATTGCGTATGCATCATGATGCCACCATCCCCTGACCCTGACCTTTCTCTAGCTGTACATTAAAAGTCTGGGGTTTTCTAACACATTTGTCTGGATGTCTTTTCTCAAGTCTTCTGCCTCACAGATGCTCAATGGGTAAGCCTCAGTTCCAAAGATACATTTACTAGCTCAGAGTGATTTTCATGTTCAAATGTAGCTTTGCAATTGGCAACGGGTGCTCTCAGCTGACTGGCTGGTCATGAGACTAACAATGCCCAGTCTTGGTGAGCGTGCTTTCATGACATGAATGGGGTAGCATATGCATTTTTAATGCTCAAGAAGATATTAACACCAATTACTAGTGCCAAAGAAGAGAATTAAAACACTACTTCATGGAATGATAACATCCTCTCTTTGATGATGAAGCCCACATGTTTTATTAGATACTGGTTTCAGTAAGAAAGTTGCTTCCTAGACACTGCAGCCTATCTCTGGAAGAGGGCATGATTTCTTCATGGATTCTAAGGTCATTTATCTTGAGGTCTTCTGATTGGTTCTCTTGGACCACTTGTTTTCTTTCAATTTAGATAACTTCCTAGTTGCCTTTAAAGATTTTTTCCCCTCCACATAAATACTTTAATAAAGCAAAATGTTCCTTCCTCCCAGGACTGCTTTGAAATTCACCATTTTATATTTTGGTCCTCCTTCCCTTTGAATAAAGCTAGAGGAGCACTCCAGAATCTTAACCATTTGGGCAGTACTTGAACAAATGGCCCTCTTTTTCCCCACCTGATTTTGTTTCTTAGTGAAATTCTTCTCAACCTACAGTCTATTGCATGCTTCTTCCCCTCCTCACCCCCTCTATCTTCCACCCTCCACATATGAAGCTGTAGAGAGAAGTCTTTCTTACTTGGATTATTGTGTCCGGAGGAAACAAGCTGAGAGTCCTAAAAGAACAAGAAATATCAATTAATTTTCTTATTTTGACTTTCAAAATCTAAGTTGAATGTGAAACATACTATTGGTCATTCAGACCCTATTCATTAATCGTGCTCTCTACCAGCCACTGTAATGAGAAACATTTATATCGATGTGCTTATTACTAAGCAGTTCCAGAAATGTAGTTCGCAATCACTTTGCTTTTGTATTGTAGACTTTTTGTTTATTGAGGTGAAATTCACATAACATAAAATCAACCACATTAAAGTGAGCAATTTAGGGCCTGGGTGGCTCAGTCAGTTAAGTGTCCAACTCTTGGTTTTGGCTCAGGTTGTGATCTCAGGATTGTGAGATTGAGTCCTATGTCAGTCTCCATGCTCAGCACAGAGTCTGCTTGGGATTCTCTCTTCCTCTCCCTCTGCCCCTCACCACCCCTGTACACTCTCTCTCTAAAATAAAAATAAATAAATCTTAAAAAAATGTTTAAAGTAAACAACTCAATGGCACTTAGTACACTCTTAATGTTGTATAACCACTACCTCTATTTGGTTGCAAATATTTCCATCATTCCAAAATAAAACTCGTTACCCTTTAGGCAGTGTATCCTCATTCCCCCCTTCTCTCAGTCCCTGACAATCACCAATCTGTATCCTGTCTCTATGAATTTATCTATTCTGGGTATTTCAGGGAGTGGAATCATAAAACATGTGACCTTTTGTGTCTGGCTACTTTCACTTAGCATAATGTTTTGGAGGTTCACCCATGTCATAGCACAGATCAGTACTTCATTCCTTTTTATGGCCAAATAATATTCCATTGTGTGTATACACACCAATTTGTTTAGCCATTCATCCATTAATGGATGTTTCAGTTGTTTCCACCTCTTGGCTATTGTGAATAGGGCTGTTACGAATACACAGGTGTATGTATTCATTTCAGTCCCTGTTTTCAATCTTTTTGGGTATATACCCATGAATGGAATTGTGGAGTCATATGGTAATTCTATATGAAACTTTTTGAGGAACTGCCAAACTGTTTTTCACAGTGGCTGAATCATTTTGCATTTTTACCAGCCATGTATGAAGATTCCAATTTCTCCACATCCTCACCAACACTTGTTATTTTCTTTTAATTTTGAGACATTTTATGATAGCCATCTTAGTGTGTGTGGCTTTGATTTATATTTCCCTAATGACTAATGATGATAAGCATGTTTTCATGTTTTTGCTGGGCACTTGTATATCTTCTTTGGAGAAATATCTATTTAAGGACTTGACCCATTTTAAAGTGGGTTGTTGGCCTTTTTGTTGTTGAGTTGAAAGAGTTTTTCACATATTCTGGATCCTAGACCCTTATCAGACATATGATTAGCATAATATTTCCCCCCATTCTGTCAGCTGTCTTTTCACTTTATTGATAATATCCTTTGATGCACAAAAGTTTTTAATTTTAACGAAGTCCTATTTATTTAATTTTTCTTTTATGGCTCATGCTTTTGGTGTCCTATTTGAGAATCTACTGCCAAATCCAAAGTCATACACTTATCTCTATGTTTTCTCCATGAGGTTTATGGTTTTAGTTCATATATTAGGATTTATTATATAACTGACTTTTAATCTAACCCACTTCCCTTTGGATGTACCTTTACTCTCATCACCTTTCTATAGATGAGGCTGGAAACCATCTCACCAGGGACAATTCACTGAACAACTCTTGTCAATCTGACATTGGTGGATGGGAAGATTATTACAGATTTCCACTTACCTGCAATGGTGGAAAGCCAGGACTATATAGTATTTTGAGTTTAGTTACTGTTTAGGTAAATAGCAATTGAACCTGATTTTATTTGCATTTAAGTGAAATGCTAACTTTTGTTTTGGGAATTCACATCCTTTTTACTTGCAAAATTCCCATTTAGCATGAAATATAAGGGAGACTTATGAAAGAACAAATTAATCAAGATGGTAGGAATGTAAAAGAATAAGTGGCAGCACATAAAATCCAGTGATACCCCTTTATAATTTCAGTGCATGGGACAAAAACCCAGTGAAATGGAATTACCTTCTAATATATAGTTTAAGGTATTTTACTAGAGTTTTGCTCCATGAATATGTTTGTCATGGGACAGGAGATGTCCTTTATGACTTGTTGCATATTCAAATCCATATGATGTTTTCAAAAGGAATTCCACTGGAACGGTATAAAATCAGCCAGACTGCTGGGTAGGGGCTGGGTGGGAAAATAGGGAAGGGAAGGAATTCCCCGCTCTGTTAAACAGACTGAGTCATACACAGATGCTTATAATGTTAATGCTGGTAATGGTGAGCTATTCATATGAAGAAAAAGAACAAGCTCAACTCTCAACCTGAGATTCAGGTTTTGGAAACAGTGTATTAAGATGAAATATTGTTCTGGGCGCCTGGGTGGCTCAGTTGGTTAAGCCACTGGCTTCGGCTCAGGTCATGATCCCAGAGTCCCGGGATTGAGTCCCGCATCGGGATCTCTGCTCAGCAGGGAGTCTGCTTCTCCCTCTGACCCTCCCCCCTCTCATGTGCTCTCTCTCTCTCATTCTCTCTCTCAAATAAATAAATAAAATCTTTAAAAAAAAAGATGAAATATTGTTCCTGAAATGATGGGCTAAAGTATAATCCTCATAAATAAATAATTTGGGCCTACTTTGGATAGCTGTTATTAAGAAGACATCCATGGTTAAACCCTCCAAATGGATTGGTGTGTTTTCCATCTTTTCTAATTAATTTAGAGTTTATATTTGAACATAAATTAGTGTTAGCTTTGATACGTGAAAGTACTTTGAGCCCCATGTAGTTGACTCCTCTGAGCCGTCTGTAGATTTCGACATTTTGCAGGTGTCTTGTACTAGAAAGGTAAACACTCACTCACCATCAAATAGACAAGAATGGTAACTGAGATAATTTTCAGCAATAAGTTCATTCATTTTTTTTTTTTTTTTTAAGTAGGCTCCATGCTCAGCATGGAGACCGATGCAGGGCTTGAACTCATGATCCTGAGGGCAAGACCTGAGCTGGAATCAAGAGTCGGACATTTAACCAACTAAGCCACCCAGGCGCCCTGCATTAAGTTCATTCTTAAGAGAAAAAGTGGAGTTTTTGTGAGACTGTTTGCTCGCACTCTTGGGAAAGAGCTCATTTTATTTCTTGGTGCACGTTAGGCATCTTAAAGTTCAGACAATGACTACAGACCGTAGACTCATGAGCAAAGAACCAAAAATAAGCTCACAGATAACCTGAATTATAATTATATACTGCAAGATCATGTATTTCAGAGATCGAAGACTTTGAATTTTACCTAAAATATTTGCGTAACTAATGGTGATTATTATTTCTATTTTGTGTGGGCAGTAAAGAGAGGCAGAAAATGGTTAAAGTAATTGGTTAAAAAAAAATCACCATAAAAGTCTGCCCTTCTAGAGAGAAGGAGACTTCTGGAGAGGCAAAATAAAATAAAGACTTTGTCTTAATATGTAATGTCATGTTTGTAACCGGTATCTTCTGGGTGCTGCACTGAACAAATACTAGCTTGAAAATACTGACTCTAACCCCAGTGTTTCTATATCATGCAACTCTGTGGGTACGAATGATATCCCATTATCATTCTCATTGACATTTGGCCAGCACGCAGCCAGTGGGCTGGTGGAGGGCGTGAGTTACCGTATGAAGCTCCTCCCAATATTACGTCCACAGGACACTGTCTTCATTCTGACTAGGTCTCTGTTGGCCAACAACTGGGCCGGTAGCTGCTGCTTCTTGAAGGACTCCTGCTCTGCCCAGGCAGCTGCAAAACCCGGGGGCTACCACAGAATGTACAGACCCTTCATCCTTCACCTAGCCAGGGCAAGGCTGGGTTCAGAGCCTAGGGAAACAAAGCCCCTCCCTCCCGAAGGGCCCAGGCACTTACTCAAGTCCCTCCCACTTTGTATTTCCTGCCACCCAGGCACCCACACACCCATAGCTTCAGTCTCAAAGGCCTTGCTGTCTCTTCTCTTCTTTCTCTCAAAGGCCCTTGCTTTCCGTAAGTAGATGCTTGCGGAATTGCTAACCCCATTTGCACATTCTTATTTTAGTCCCCTCTGGGAGCACTCTACGAGGGCTGCAAGGTTCTGTCAGGCACCTTAAAGGTTACAGAGGGAGTGTACAAAATCCCTGCCTACAGGGCCCAGGGGTCTTGAGTTAGCAGTGGAGATGATGTGTATACGAAATATTATAACCCAGGGCTGAAAGGGATGCCACGGCCGCTCTGCAAGAGTACTTCAAGCCTTTGCATTCTGTCCTTGTCCTTGGGATGCACGTCCTGCCGTTTTCTGTTTTCTGCTTGGCAAACTTCATTCTTTCTTCAAGGCTCAGAACAAAAAAGCTCAAGGGTTACCTGCTCTTTGAAACCTTCCTGAATCTCAGAAGGATGCATCTGCTTTATGTTTTCACTGCACCCACTGCCACTACAGAAATTATCTTTTCAACTAGGACTCTTTAACAAAAAAAGACAAAGCCAGCTTTATTAAGGTACAAATTACATGATACAAATCGCACATATTTAAAGTATACAACTGGATAAAAATCACAAAAAGAATGCTACTATTATTACTGTCTAGACCCAAGGATGGCTCTATCTTGTTAAGGAGCATTTACTATTTGAAGAAACAAACAACAGTAATATCTATTCATTAAAGAAGGTTCAGAACAGCAATAAAGTATAAAAAAAAGTTGCCTGTCATCCCATAACAGGACACTGCTAAGGTTAATCGACTGCTTCTGGTTTGCCAGTGTCATTCATCAAGTGTGTGTCATTCTGACATGTGCACAAAGGGGACAGCCACTTCTGGTTACTTACAAGAATATCTACAGATGGGAATTCATTCTTCTCCACCTCCAAGTCCTGAATTCCCAACACCTATTGTTTGGTACACGGGAATCCTAAACCTTCTCTAAATGTGGTGTTTAACTGGGAAGTAAAGTTTGTACACATCATTTGG